AAAAGAGCTATTGGAAAATTAAAAAAAAATCTCTCGAACCTTAATTTTTTCTTGATTTTCAACTTTTTCTTTTGAAACGAGGAGCGGTACCTTGAAAATAAAATCAAAGAATACCAAAGGAGGATAATCCAGACCTAACCCAACATGCTCGGGAGGGCAAGAAAGCCTAGTCCCTAATAGATCAATGCCCAATCCGCATTCTATTAACTTTAAAAAGCGAACTAAAGCCATGTTCATAACTAGCCAATACAATCAAAACATAGCTAAATATTTGGGCATCCATGAACTTGTATGAACCAACATGCATGAACAATAACGAGTCCCTATCTTAGTGAAGGTTCCTACCGGAAATAGTATTGAGCCATGGTCGTGTATAGTCCTCAAATAAGTCGAACTAGAACCGATACCGAATGAAGCCTTGCCTTTCAGTGCTATAGTGACCCAATGTGAAGCTTGTCCGCATACCGAATACCATTGATGCTAAAGGAAAGAACCACTCCTTACATAAAATCATAGCCATCCACTCGCTATCAATTCCTAAATTCATCTTCCTCACGTTGAACTATGTTTACGAAAAAAAATAGCTAACCTAAGCATCTTCCTATATAGCTTAAGCACAACTACTTAGGATGTCCGAGATCATGAATGCAACTTACATGGATGAGTGTTCGAAGGCCCTTGCTGCCAGCCTTATCCACGGTATTATTCCCTTCTCGGAACACATGTTTAACAAGTAGCACTTGGATGCATAACCGCCTAGTAATCTCGTGTATAATAAGTAAGCTTCCAAGGTAGATTTTGTGATCAAACCAAGCCACGGAGAGTAAGAAAAGAATTAGCCTCTATAATTAAAGGATGAAAGTATGAAGATTACATTATCCGAGTCCTTCTCGAATGGCTAGAAGCACACTTTTATTATTGGTCCTAGCTTTAAAGAAAATAGACAAAGCCAACAACATTCTCCCATAAGCATCACGTAGGACTCGTCCCCTACCGCACATATTTTCCCTCGAAGCCCCATCCATATTTAGCTTTAAGGAACCTTAAGATGGAGGAATCCATCTTATCCATCTTCCTCTAACCAAGAGAGGAGTTTGAGGTTGAATTTTGATAACTGCGAGACAAATGCTATCGTGGAAAGACAATGAAGCTTTTAGGATGAACATTTTATTAAGCTCAATCAACTAGTGAATAAGCTTGAGTTTAATTCCTATGGAGTTCATTACCTAACCTTCAAACATTTTCATATTCTATGCTAGCTACAGTTCCCATATAACAACGTTGAAGACCATGAGATGAGTGAAAAAATTTTACAAGGAAGGAATTTTTTTAAATAGCCACCTAGTAGCTAACTATCTCACCGATACTCGCCCTTGGACTTATTTCAAAATGTCACCAAAATAACTTCATAAGTACCCAAGCAACCTCACTCGTAGATGAAAAAGTGCTCCCTCGACTCTTCTTGTGGACAACTGCAGCATCTACACATAGAAGAAAGAGGGATTCCATATATTTTAATCCTTTCATCTATTATCAAAGCATTATGCATGAGTTTTCGGACCAAGATTCCAACCTTCTTAGGAATCCATTTATTCCATAAGCCCTCCACCACTCAAATTTAGGACCAGCCTACCCTATTCTCCTCATTATAAATTTTGTACTAAATCTACCCGACTTAGCCTTCATGTAACAAAGAACATCATCCATATTGCAATCCAAATGTATGGTGTCCAGTTCATCTCTAATTAAAGGAGCAAGGGAATCATATATACATGGAACTATTTTAGCTTGAATAGTGTGATATCTATGTCGAAGTCTGGAGAGAACATGGATAGATCCAACACTATCCACTTTTCTTTCTAAATTGACTATTGCCAGCTCCTCGCCAACCAGATAAAGTTATCCATTAAAGATCTAATATATAGCAAAAGGGCTCTCCATATTAGTGTACCCTTGTCGCTCTCTAATACGTAAATCCCAATTGGAGTACTATACTTGTCCCGCATAAAACAACTCCATAAGGATTGGCTTGAGAGATATGCCCATGCAAGTTTCCTTTTCATATCTTTAATCACTTCTCCCGCATTTTTGATAGCTAAACCTCCTTCTTGCATAGGCTCGGACATCTTATGCCAATTGACCAAATGATGCCTACTTTATGTTCCACTATTTTAGAAGAAGTTGGATATGTAACCTTGGAGCCTAGAGATGGTAGTTTTAGGAATTGGAAGCACCCCTATGGAGTATATGGGAATGGATGATAAAACACTCGAATCAATGTTAATTTCCCACCTATCAACAAAACTTTCTCCTTCCAACCCACCACCTTGTTTCTAATTTTCATTTCAAAATAGGTGAAGTACTAGATATGACATCTTCCTTTAAATAAAGGCATGTCCAAGTATTTAACTACCTTTATTGTAAATCCTATCTATGAGGCTAAGAGATTTTTCTTGTTGGGAGATAACATGTTGTTGTATAGTAGCAAACTCTTCCCGTGATTGACCAACCGACCATTGGATGAAGCATATTTACTAATTAATGATAAAATTTTATCAATTGTTTTCTTTCCTCCATTGCAAAATAGAAGCATAACATCCATGAAGAGAAGATGAGTTATGATTGGGATCTTATGTCCAATATGGTAAGGCTTAATCATGCCTTTATCTATCCATGCATTTAGTTGATGACTCGAATGCATCTTATGCCAAGATAAAAAGAGCAGGAGATAACGGATCTCTTTACCTCACTCCCCATTTCGATTTGAAAAATCCAAATGTGCATGAGTTAAAGCACACTAAGTATTAGCAGTTAATCAAGCATCAAAATAACAGATCACACTAATCGTCCGAAAAACCGAACATTCCCGGAACACTAATGATAAAGTTCCAATCCATTCTATCATATGCCTTCACCATGTCTACCTTTAGAATTACATTATCCCCATGAATTTTCTAATCTATATGATTAAACGAGTTCCTGAGCTGGGCAATATTCTTAGTTATTGCCCTTCCAATCACAAACCTTGACTTTTCCTAAGACATTAGTGATGGAAGAACCCTACTAAGTCTTGTGGTGATCACCCCGGACTGAATCTTATAGGAAACATTGCATAAGCTAATCGATGTCATATCTTTAAAACTTGCAAGGTTAGAGCATTTTGAAATCAAAATTAGATTGGTAACCATTACCCCTTTTGAAATATCCACTCCTTTAAAGACATCTTGAACTTAAGCAACCACGTCCTCATTGACAATATCCCAACATGTTTTGAAGAAAGCCCTCATGAAATCATCGGGGCCGAAGCGCTTAGATCATCTAGTTCAAAGACCACTACCTTCACCTCCTTTATAGTCGGAATGGCCATTAAATCGCTATTCTATAATTTTAAAATTATTTAGGGAATTTCTTTAAGGAACAAAACATCCTCGGTGACTAGCTTCTTTAAAAATAATTTTTGAAAGAATTTCATAGCCTCTTCACTAAGTCTATCATCCTCGATACACGGTGACCCATCCTCTAACCTCAATGAAAACCAAGATTTAGTAGCATGATTATAAATGTTGGCATGGAAGAAGGTCGTATTTCTATCGCTTGCAGCCAACCATTTAACTCTTGACTTTTCCTAAAACAACGAGCTCCTCCCGATCAATTAATTTGGATAAGCATTCTTTATCGACTCGTGAGTTTTGCTAGATTAATCTCACTCCAACTATTCTACAATATTGATTCGATCCGAGTGCTTCATCTTGAGCCTCATTAATTTTTTTGTTAATATATCTAAAGACTTCCCAATTCCATGTTCTTAGCTCCCTACGGAGAGCTTTTAAGTTTTAGATGCAAATTGAGAAAAGGCTTCGACTAAAGGGAATGTGCTATTGATTTTGAATGAATGGAAGAAACCTTGCACATGTAGTCTTATTCTCTTGAAAGAAAGCTTTGTTGGCTTCGACTTAGAGCTCACCATAGATAGCAATAAGGGATAATGATTAGAGTGTAATCTTGTAAAATGTGAACAGATTAACCAAGGAACCATCGAAAGAAAAGCATTATTCACCATAACCCTATCCAACATCTTTCATACTTGAGCCCCTCCTTACTCACACCATGTGTATTGACTACCCACGTATTCAATATCTTACAATCCCATTCTATGTATTCCACAGCTTAAAATCAAAAATAAAACTAGTGTCAAACCGAATACCTTTAATTTTTTTAGAAGATTTAGTAATAGCATTAAAGTCCCCCTAATGACACATGGTCGTGTAATGTTTAAAGCATCCAAATTGTCTCACAAGGACCTCCTCTCTAGCATGTTGTATCTCGCATATACTACAATGTGATGCATTAGGTATATATCGTTAATATATCAACCTATAGTTGATCCTTCCATATAATCCATATGTGTGAATTTGTAAGGTGCCTATGGGCATAGCCATAAAAGAGTAAAAAGTTAGCTAAATTTGGAAGTTTCTTAGTTGATTGTTTAGGTTCTAAAATAACTAGAAGAGAAATCTTATCCCGCCATGAAAGACACTTCAAATATCTCTTTTTTTTCCTAGAGAACCGATACCTCGTAATTTCTAGATCAAGTTATACATAAGGGAGAGAGAAGAACGGCTCCTCATGGTGGTCTTTAGTCGACCTCATAACTTTTTTTGGAACTACCTTGCACCAAGCTTCTCCATAACTTCTTTTTTTGCTTATTTATCGGATTACCTCTTTGAGCTTTTATTTTTTCTAGCCTACCCGGATACTCTTTTTCCACCTAGCTTTGTTTATTTACTCCTATTTCGGAGGTTACTCTAGGTGACAATTTACACTCCACATGTTCTCGTTATATTCCCATCATCCATACCGCCTTGCCTAATCCCCAATATCCCCAATAAACAATTAAAGGGATTTAAGGAAACAATTTTTTATTGTTTAACTTGGATGTTTATCTCCGACGTAGTTAATGATATCCCAAGCATTTTCTAGAGATAGAACATCCATCCTACTAGAGAAGAGCTCGCATCATTATTGTTCTCTCTATGATAGATTTCCTCTTTCTCCATAGCCTTCTCCACTACTAACTCCTTCTCTAAACTCATCTTTCTAGTGCTATCCACTATTGTCCTCTTATCCGTAAGTCCTAAACTATCCGTGTGACTTGTCTCCACCATAATTTGTGCCTCATTATTCATATTATTGTCCTCATTATTCATAAGCTGAATTATGTCACAATGTGGGTGACTTTCTCTATGGCTTTTAGAGCTGGAAGTCTTTTCCTCACTTACTACATTCACTCGCAATTTGTATGAGAGTTATGTTCGATTTGTTATTTTCTCCTTTCCTTTTGTTACGTTGCCTTAGACCTTGAATGGACTTTCCGGACTTGGATTCTAGTTATAGGTGGAATCGCCCTCATAGCTTAACTCGTGATTGTTGTTTCGCTCGCTTCACCCTATGCTACAAATGATCACTCGCCTTTTTTCCAAGAGTTATCTTGTATATAGCCTTTGTCGAGTTGTTGGTCATTCCGAGTGGGTGTCTAGCATTTGCGATAGGAAGCTAGAACATGACCTTATGGATGATATATATTACAATAAGCAATGTTCGATTCTACTATGATCTCGTTGTTAGAATCTTTTGGCTTTGTCTCGGACCTACGTAAATCCACACTCGTGTAGGAATAGGTATTGTAAGATCTAATTTCATAAGAACCTTGACATAGATTGGGTGAGAGTTGTTCCTTGTTCTTACATCCGGACGGAGGAAAGCTCTAATTGGTCGAACAATTTTAGCAAGAAAGGATGAGGGGAAAAGAGGCGGTAAAGGCCGAGAAGCTTTAACCATACTACTACTCTTGAAGACTCAAATCTAGTGGAGAAAGTGTCGACCTACTTGAACAACTAAAACAACGAATTCTCGATCGGATGGTTATCTTGTGCCCATGCCTTGATAAAATTCTCTTTGCTAAATGTCTTTATCAAAACATACCTTGGGTCTAAGTAGACCCACAATTGGAATTTCCATCGGCCCTCTTCGTCGTTGGATATGGTTTCTAATGGTGTTAATGGAGGGTCTAGTCCTCGAGAATTTAGCCACCGGGGAGTACTCGAAAATACCGGTCGATTGATGTAGATCGGCCACCGTATATTCCACAACAGTGCTCTTCTTCATATAGCGAGGGCGGTTTAGGTGTGATGGCGATGAGAGGGAGTTAGTGTTTGCGAGTTGGACTTGATGTTGTTACTCGCTAAGTAAGAAACTTTGGGAATATTGGTTTGTTGTGGTATTATGGTATCGGACATAGGTTGCATGGGAGCTATAAGTATTTGAGGGTGATAAAAGGTTTGGAGCTAAAAGGATAGGGATGCAAACCCGAGAGTCAAGGACTCTATCGTGAATTCAAAAAGCTATGGTCGCGAGAGCTTCCTACTAGGTTTTTGATATCTTCCTAACTTCCTTTCTTGATATGATTTTCACCCTTCCTTAACCTAGAATCTTCCTCACTTGTATTATTCTTGCTTCCCGGCCAACACCAACCTTTTATAGGTACGAATTTGCTCAAATCTCTCTTAGAATCAACCTATTCACACCGGATCCAACTGCTAAGGCTGGAGTTTAGCCTTTGATCGCCTAAATCAACGAAAAAAAATTCATTAAGACATGATTCTTGGATGCTATAAAATCCAACTAAGAATCATAGTAAATGTAATTCAAAACAAACGAAATTAGTGGAAGATTTGTCTCCAAGAAAAAATTGAAGAACAATCCCAAAAGAGATTCTAGGTTACAGCAAACAATAAGTCGTTTGCTTGATTTTAATCCTATCATTCACTCTAAAGTTCTAATTTAGTCCTTATGATTTTTAATTGTTTACAATCATGCCCTTTTTTCGATAATTTCAATCCTTGTAAAATATGATTTTTTTTATTGGATTCCTATGCAATGTAATTTAAATTCTGAATTTCTCAATTGATTCAATTATGCCCTTAATTACTTCAATTATACTTTCCTTTAATGCAATTATGTCCTTGGATGATTTTTTTTATTTTCTATATGTTTTCCTCTTTTTTTATCATTTTTCTATTTTTCTTTTTTAGTTTTTGTAGTACACTTATAAATCAAATCAAAATGAAATGAAATAAAAATAAAATAAATAATAAATAACAACAAAAAAATGTGGGAAAATTTTGGGTTATGACAAAATTATTTTAAAAAATCAAAGCTATTTATTTAATAAAAAATCAATAATGAATGTGATTCAAGGTAGAAACGATTGGATGATACGCACGAGGAGCTACTGAGAGAATGTGCTAATTGCACTCTATTGTGACCCATAAACTACAATTTAGTTTGCAATAATTGATGCATTGCGCAAGAATAAAGCTACATGAGGTAGAGAAGACTACTCTTTGCTCTTGCCTTGCATAAATATTCGTACGTTTTGAGAGGAGAAGGGAGCTGTAGTTGGTACAACAACAATATCATGAGCCGTCTTGTTAATGTTAAGATTATTCAACAAGTATAATGTTTTTGGACGATAAATATATTTTTCAGATCAGTTTCTTCTATAATTGAAATTATTATTATTACTACTACTATTACTTTATAGACGTATCCGCTTGATGGATTTAGAAAATTTTAATAAATTATTTGGATTTTAATTCTAAGATTTAAATTTAAAAAAATCAAAGAAACAGAAAACGAACTTTTTAACCATCACACCGACCCCTTAATAAAATTACATGATTTGCTATATTTTTATTAAACTATTTTTCAAGTATATATACCTTTCCGCTTAATTTATAGCCAAATATTTTGGTAGCTAGTATATGTTTGCTTGAGAAAAAAATTTCGTCAATTGAGGTTCCCCTCCTATCCATTCATCTTTTATGTACAAGAATTGCTACTCCATTGAAAAAACAGAGATAGCTAACTAGATAATGACTTCTTTGAAAGAAACATCGATCTTACATAGTTGCTTTATTGCAAAGCATTACTGGTGAGTTATTAATGCATGTAGTTGTGTTCTTTTTTTCCTACACAATTAGGTACTTTCTATTAAGTTTTCAATAAATATCTTTTTCAATAAAATTAATTTTAAGCCATCCTTATGGATGGTCATTCGTTTTTTTTAACAATTTCAGGTTTGTTTTCTATTAACTGAACTTATATAAACAAAAACCAAACTCGAACTAAATTATTATACGTTTTTTTCGATTTAAATCCAACTTTATTTTTCTTATATATATATATATATATTTCACCACATATCTATAATAATATCAAGATATTTCATCTTTTAAACTCGAACCTTAAGTGATGTATAATGTATATAATATATCCATTTACCATTCTAGCTAAGGCTACAAGGCTACACTTGTATGTAGTAGATTATGGGAGAAATTATGTACTTTTGGAAATTAATATCTACAAACTTACTAAGTTGCTTTTGAAAGATTGCTGTATAATTTTGGAATTATTGGAGTGTGCATGTAACGTATTGAAAATCTATATTTGGCAATATGGAATTTTATATTTCGATTAAAAAAAAAAAAGTGGTAATTAATTAAATGCATGCATGGTGGCTATGAATTTGAGTAGGGAAATTCTGTAGGAAGTTTAAGTTTTGACTTGAAAAGAAAGATCGAAGGTCAAAGAAATTGTCTTTGAGTAAACTCTAGAGTTGTTCTAACAACTGGTGCAACAAATTAAAGATAGTCGTGATGAAGATTGGTTGGACCATACTCTTCATCACTTTAAAGTTTAAACTAGATAATTTTTACAACCATAAAATCAGCCAAACTCATTCTCTCACCGCTCTCTATATATAACAATATATCAATAATTTATCAATGCAGTACTCTTAAAATAAAGGGGACCTTCCTTGGAGCACTACTCATTCTGTTATTACAGGGAAGAAGGAGAGAATAAAGAAAATTAATGGGTGCTTCCATTCTTCCACCACCACCATTCCTAGCTCTTCTCTTCACATTGAGCACTTTCTGTCTCCTCCCTCAGCATGCTTTTGCCGTAACCAGACACTACAAGTTTGATGTATGTATTACTTTCTCATTTGCTCGTTACTGAATTTCACCTCCGTTCTCTCTCTCTCTCTCTCTCTCTCTCTATATATATATATATATAACAAGTCTGAACAGTTTGATATATGTTTTGTAGATAAAGTTACAAAATGTGACACGTTTATGCCATACCAAGCTCATGGTGACAGTAAATGGACAGTTTCCTGGGCCTCGAATAGTAGCTAGGGAGGGTGACCATCTTCTTGTTCAAGTGGTTAACCATGTCCAAAACAATATCTCCATACATTGGTATGAATGATTAAAACTTCAACAATATCATGGAGTTGTTATTATATAAACTGGACCAAATTATCAATTTTATGCATGTAACTTGAACTCCACTATCTAAATTGCAACAGGCATGGAATTCGACAGCTTCAATCCGGATGGGCAGACGGACCAGCATACATAACTCAATGCCCCATACAAACTGGTCAGAGCTATGTGTATAACTATACCATTGTAGGTCAAAGAGGCACTCTTTGGTGGCATGCCCATATATCATGGCTCAGGTCAACCGTCTATGGTCCTATTATCATTCTTCCTAAGCGTGGTGTTCCGTACCCATTTGCCAAACCTTATAAGGAAGTTCCCATCATCTTCGGTAATTAACAATCCCTATTGCCAATTGTTAATGAATTGAGAGTTTATGGCTGTTTGTGATCTCCTACTATTTTTTTTGCTAAGAAAAATCGATCATGTATACCGTGCATATAATATGTTGCAGGAGAGTGGTTTAATGCTGATCCTCAGGCGGTCATCAGCCAGGCCCTGAAAACAGGTGGAGGCCCAAATGTCTCCGACGCCTACACAATCAATGGGTTCCCAGGGCCATTGTACAACTGCTCAGCCGAAGGAGGTAATATTTCCTGCTTTAATGTGGCCTGTGAAGGTTCCATTTCTTTAATAATATTGTTTATAAAAATGCATATAGCTAGATAAATCTACTTCTCACTCTGAAATGAGGAAAACCTTGCAGATACCTTTAAGCTGAAAGTGAAGCCTGGAAAGACTTACATGCTTCGCTTAATCAACGCTGCACTTAATGATGAGCTATTCTTTAGTATCGCAAACCACTCGGTAGCCATTGTTGACGTTGATGCTGTTTATGTCAAACCTTTTGACACTGAGACACTCCTTATCACTCCAGGACAAACCACAAATGTTCTTCTTAAGACCAAACCCCATTTCCCTAATGCCACATTTTTCATGACTGCAAGGCCTTATGCGACTGGCCCAGGCACTTTTGACAATTCAACTGTTGCTGCCATTTTAGAATATGAATCACCCCAAACCATTCACTCAAGCCTCTCTAATAAAAACCTTCCACTCTTCAAACCAACTTTACCTCCTCTAAACGACACTGCCTTTGCTGCAAATTTTACAAGGAAACTCCGTAGCTTAGCAACTGCACAATTCCCTGCCAAGGTGCCCCAAAAGGTTGATAGGAGATTTTTCTTCACGGTAGGCCTTGGGACAAATCCATGCCCTAAAAACCAAACCTGCCAGGGACCAAACGGAACCAAGCTTGCAGCCTCAGTTAATAATATATCTTTTTCGATGCCAACCACAGCTCTACTCCAGGCACACTTTTTTGGTCAATCAAACAGTGTTTACACTACTGATTTTCCAATCACTCCAATATTTCCTTTTAACTATACTGGCAACCCACCAAATAATACTATGGTAAGCAATGGAACCAGGCTAGTAGTTCTTCCTTTTAATACTAGCGTGGAGCTAATAATGCAGGACACTAGCATACTTGGTGTTGAGAGTCACCCTCTTCACTTGCATGGATACAACTTCTTTGTTGTCGGCCAAGGTTTCGGAAATTTTGATCCAAATAAAGACCCCGCAAAGTTCAATCTTGTTGACCCTGTTGAGAGGAACACGGTCGGTGTCCCCTCTGGTGGGTGGGTTGCTATCCGATTCCTAGCAGACAATCCAGGTCAGTAATTGTAATCAAAAGGCTATAGTACCGCAATTGATTTCAACATAGTTAAATTAAGAACTTGATTCTTTATAAATTTTGATGATGATGATGATTTTAACAGGGGTATGGTTCATGCATTGTCATTTGGAAGTCCATCTAAGCTGGGGGTTGAAGATGGCTTGGGTTGTCTTGGATGGAAAGCTTCCCAGTCAGAAGTTGATTCCTCCACCAGCTGATCTTCCCAAGTGTTGACATTTGAGCTACTTAGTCCACAAGCTTCCATGCCCTGATTTTTTTTTTTTTAACTTGTTTTATTCTTTGGCCTTTTTTAATAACTTCTTTGAGCAGTTAATCTGCAATGATGCATAATTGGAGTTGAGAAAAAGAAGAGATCGAACAATTTTTGTACACCATAATAATTCGTGACACCTCAATGAAGTTTTCTAATTGTTATGGAATATCTACATGTTCTTAATTTCTATTGACCAGCTTTTCATGAAAGTGTGTCCTGCCGCTCCTGCGATGTCCTCCGCACGCGTGGTCATTTTATTTTCTTTGAGGATCTAGGCATGGATGTATAATTTAAGTTTTATATAGCCTTATTAATTAATAGAAAGTAACACTTTAATAACAAATATTTGAAGTCAATGTTGCGTGTCTAAACAGTTGAAATAACTAAATAATCTTTCATGCAAACTAAATTCTAAATACTTTCACTAATAAGTTTTTTTTTCCTTCGTATTATTAGGAATTTAATCTCATTTTTTGTAAATTAGTTTTTATAAGGAAATAATTATTAAGTCAAATACACAAGCAGTAATTAAGAACATAAAATAAATTAATTATAAAATCACAACCACAAGAACATTAATTAACATAAAAATTCCTCTCTATTATATAAAAAAAAATCACGAAAGCAATTCTAAAATAATCAACCATAATCAATAAAGCAATATAATTACTTAAGTTTCTCCGTGAACTTAAGAAGCAAAAATATTAGTAATAATACAAGTTACCTATTTAGTTAAATCTATCTCCTCTCTAAAATCTGAAATTTGTGAAATCTTTGTGTTTATGCTAAGTCTAATATTATGTGATATCATTATCTTGAACACTACGATTTTTCGTGGTCGTAGTATTTAAAAAATCAATACTGGAGACAAATCTAATATTTAACACACCAAAAATCCTTACTTCATTGTTATAGCAATTACAAAGAAAAAAAAATTCTCTCTTGTTACTCTTCATCTAAAAAATAAAAAATAAAAAAAAACTAAAACTTTCTTATATAAATTCGACGTATGTAGGCTTTAAGGAAAAATAACAATACCTTTTTTTGTCTTTTGCACCACCACACATGCAACTTTTTGTCCTTCCTTTTTCTTTTTTTTTCTTTTTTTTTTTAACTTCAATCTTTCTTTATTGGATAACATATGGGTCACATCTACTGGAACCATTGCCTAACAAATCTCCCCAACTCAATATAGAGAAAAATCTCAACTCGTCATCCATAATTTATGCTAGCCACACTAGCACACAATCCATTCTTCTAGCACGCTATCACTTTTTTGGACATATCAACAAGATCTTTATTAAGAAGAATTATTCTCAGCACCATCAAGTACTTCTTCATTACCTCATAAAGACAATGATATCATCAATCATTAAACTTTGATTCTTGACCTTTATTATAAGTCGAACAAGTATGAAAGCTACTAACTCCCTCTCATCTATGAACAAGATATTATTAGAACTAAAATTCTTAATAAAATAATAATATTGGCTTGTAGACCTACTCACTCGAAGATTTACATTTTGATATGGAGGTTTCTATTCCCCTTAATCTACATTCTTTGTGTGTGTATAATCATCTTTGCCAACTATTGACTCCATATCAATCTTATACTCTTCATTCAAAACTCCCCGTATGTGGCAATCTCATTAGCATATGTAACATAAAACTTCCTTGCCAGTCCTTTTTAATATACCGAGCTTGTCATTTAGACTACAATTTTAGAGAAATTCCATATCTAACTACAATATTCTAAAATCTAATTAATTATACTTTTGTCTTGTACGGTTTATAGTAAATATAACCTCTAGTAATAATCATCGATCTTTTGGTGAGTTTCCATCTTCCAATATCAAAATGAATGTAGTATCTAGTAATGTTAAAGACATGAGTACAAATCGATTCAATCCCAAAATCGATACATGCAACACATCATTTAAAATCATTATACAATTAGTACATGCCATTATAAATATATTATTAACTCTTAAAGTATTAGCATAACTATTATTGTTCATTTTTGTTACGCCAAAGTCTCTTACTTTATGCACACTAAAGAATTCTTTCTTAGAAATAGTATGATATACAACTCGCTGAGTCAATAACCCATTCAACATAAAAATCTACAACATTACATTTATTTTTCCATAGGAAAGCATTGCCACATCCTAATCTAAAATTAATATTGTAGTAGTGTTTTCATTATCTTCTTCTTGATTCTTCAGTTCTTTTTGTTCTTTCTTCTATGTCTTGAAATTTCTATTGATATGGGTTTTTCATTTTTACGGTGATAACTTTTGAAATTACCACAGGAGCAACTCTAAAATAATCAATTATAAAAAAAAAATCAATACAATTACTTAAGTTTCTCCATTATCTTGAAAAGAAAAAATATTGATAATGATACAATTTATCTCTCTAGATAAATCTATTTGACCACAAAACCGAAAATCTATGAAATCTTTATGTTTCAATAAAATCCAATTCTATATGAGATCACCATCTTGAACACTATGATTTTTTGTGACTATAGTATTGAAAAATCAATGCTAAAGACAACTCTAATATTTAATATACCAAAAATCCTTACTTTCTAGTTACAAAAATCCCATATATATAACTTGTATTTTCTCTCATAGTGCTATTTATCCCACAACGAACACACCATTACAAAAAAAAAGACTAAAAATTTCTTATATAAATTCTATATGTGTCGACTCCATCAAGGAAAAATAACATCATCCTATTTTCATTTTCCATTATTAGCACCTAAAATTTCCCTCTTCTAAAATTTTTCAGGTGCTTTTATTTTATTTTTATTTTTTTGAAAAAAAAAGGTGTGTCTATATATATATATATAAGTTACTTTTATTTTATTTTATTTTAAAAAAAAGGGTGTGTGCTTGTCTGTGTGTGTGTGTGTAATTTTTAAAGGACTTTTAATTTTTTTTAAAAAAATGATTAAAAAAATATGTGTGTGTGAATATTTATGGATAGTAAAAAAAAAAAAAAAGGAGAGAGAAAGAAATAAGGAAGAAAAGGAAAAAAAAAAAAAAGGGAAAGAAAATAAGAGAAGGAAAAAACATAGTAGGATTAATAAAAAATATATTTGAAAGTATCATGGGTCAATTTGATAATAATAAAAAATTAGAATAGAAACTTAAAATAGTTAAAGATCTAATCGGTGAAAGTCAAAGGCCAAATTGCTACAAATTGAGAGGGACCAATTTTAAAAAATAGTTTTCCCTCCAATAACCCTTTTTCTTCCTACTTCTTTCTTTTCCATGTGCAAAAAGTTGTCTTCTCAATCAAAAAACTCTACTTTTTTTGGTCCAAAAAAGTCAAGAAGCACACCTCTAGACACTCTATCATCAACTCTTTCCCATCAACATTAATTGGCCCTCATTCTACCGTCTTGCTCGTAATTTTGGCTACCTTGAGTATGCTTCTCTTGTAATAATCAACTTTGGTAGCCATGAATGGACAAGAGAAGAGGATTTTTAGAGATTTTAAAGGAAAGGTCACGATCTATAGGTGGATGGTGAATGATTGGAATGAAAAAAACAAAGGTCTTTATAAGAAGAATGAGGAAAAAACAAAATAAAGACAAGAGATATTAATAGAGGGAGAGGGGGTTTTAGAGACAAATAGAGAATAAAAAAGCTTGATACAAAGGAAAAGAAAGTGACGAAGAAATAGTTTCAAGTGTGGAGAGTAGTATCGAAGAAGAAAGGAATGGAAAAAATAAAAAGAAATGGGAGAAAATTCATCCCAAAGTAAACATCTCAAAAAGGACTCTACTACCAACCTCTAACTTTGCATTTTTTTTTTTTTTAGCTTCAAGAGGAATCTTTTCAACTAATACTTCTTTCATTTAGTAGTTTATATATTGAGCTTTAAGGTGTAAAATTTTTACAATTTTTGAATTTTTTTTTGGTTATTAAAATTGAACCCAAAGAAAGGTCGTTGATAAAAGAAAACACTTTAAAAAAAAACTACTAAGTATTTCTTTAGTTTAAGTGAGGAATTTCTAGATTGATTGTCTCCGATCTTCAATAACTATTGAGAGTATTTTTTACTTGAGGGTATATCGGACCATCCTCTCTACAACTTAGAACCATTTTTTAAGGTTAGAAATATTCCGGAGAACTTAGGAGAAATAACCAAAGTTAGGGGATCGTTAAATATATATATATATATATATATATATATATATATATATATATATATATATATATATATATATATATAAGGCCAAAATTCAAGGTTAGCAATATTTTGTCTTTTGTGGTTCGAAGAAAGATTTTTTTTTTTTCAAGTTGATTTTCTTCCATGTCCCTCAACAATCTTTAAGAATGATTTTTTTTTTTTTTTTTTTTTGTAAGGGTGTAGAGAGCCATCTCTTAAACCCCCTAGTTGTTTTTAAGACTAGAAACTATCAAGAGAACTTAAAAGAAAGACCGGAGAGACCCAAAGTGAGACACTTAAAAGTCTTTAAAATAAGACTTAGTCAAATTTTGAGTCAAGTAAGTGGTATTTTTTGTAATTTTAAGTACAAATGACATTCTTCACGTGTCAACGCGTGATTGGAGAATTTTTAGGCACCAAGAGGCGGAATGGTCGGTTTTGAGGATAGTCAAGGGTATTTTAGTATTTTCATATCTAGATGTAAGATATTAATACTAAAAATGTAACGCCACCGCCCAGTCATATTTCTACTACCCAAGTAAGGTATCGGACGAAGCGCATTACGCCGACATATCCTAAACTCTAAGTAGTTTTCTTATGATATTCTTAGGACTTTAACGAGTACATTACGTATATAACTCCTTACGATAAAATTTACATAAAATAATTAAATACATTAATAAAACATTACGGGTGATATTCAATTTCTCACGAACTCCATACCTCAAATTTACGGACAAAATAAAAACTAATATATGGTGCCTCACATAAG